TTTTAGAAACCTCTAGACCATACGCAGAGTAGACTAAACATGTGAAACTTGTTTTTCTTGCTTTACAGACAACACTAAATGCTCTAGGAAGACATATTTGATCCTATCCCCTTTACTAAAAAGGGAAGAAACATCAAAAAACAGGAGTTCAGCCTGTAAAACAGAGTTCTCAAAGGAAGGACTAAGGAAAACATTAGCAAGCAAGAACTGTATGTTTAAGTTCAGTGGGATAGTTCACAACTGAAAGTCTAGCGTGTGCCCAGGAATTTTGCTGACTTTGTGGTTTTAGTTTCTTTTCATCCTCTATAAAATACTTTCATCACCTGCAACAAGACCTTTATCAATATTTGCAGTGTTACACAAGGTACCTCCACAAAAGCATTAAAAAAAAATGCAAACGATTGCGTGTTCTCTTGGAGACCCCTCCAACAGGTGCGATCACAATAGCTAACGTAAAGGCAACTGAAGCATGCCCTGACAGAAGAGCAGAAGGCATGTGCTGCCTTAGAAAAGGAAGCAAAACAGAAGCAAACCAGGTTGCCTGGTTTATTGCACTATTCAGTAAGTTACCTGAGCTAAACAAATACTTGAACTCAAACCCAGCCTCAATAAAGACATTTATACTTCAAATATCTCTTTTGAGTTCATTGGTTTATTTTTCTGCAAGAAATGCTGTCATTAAGTCAGATACTGTAACTGATTATGAACATGAAAAACAGTCATTTTAACCATTAAGGAGAGAAACAGAAGAAAGGTCACTGCTCTAGTTTGCATTTGCTTTCAACAGCAAACTGCAGAATGAGCTGACTATATACATACACACTATTTGAAGCCGCTGAAACAATGATCAGTTTGCATGAGGGCAAGTATGCTGCTTGCTGTAACATTCTAAACCAATACATAGGCTTTCAGAACCTACACAAATCCCAAGCTTTATCCCGGAATGAGGGCTGCACTGAAAATCATTGTGGAATTGTTTTTTTTAGACATGCTAAGGCATGGGTTTAGCAGCTACTTATAGTAAAACCTGCACTGCAGGAAGTTCTCATGTCTCTCCCTCCAGAAACAGCGGTGTCCCAGCCTCAGAGCAACATCTTGCTCCCTGTGGCTGGTGAGATCCCTTTCAGATCCCCCACCTTCCCCTTTCACAACACATTACTTTTCAATATTGGCTAGTGTCGTTGCTCTCTTGCCAGCCCACAACCCTTGCTGCGATAGCCTATACAAACACTAACCCAACGCAGCCCCCCCACCTCTTTTCTCCTGCTGAACTTTCCCCCACTCCCTATAAAACCTTAAAAGGAAAACGCTGCCCAACTTCTGGGTCAGAACACTACCATATTCCCTGCCTCAACCTGCAGTACTGACACACCCATTTGTTTGAAGCGGGGATCGTGACTTTGTCCTTATTGGCTTGGACCAGTAAGAGCACAACCCCCCCTCTATTCTGTGGCCCACTGGCAAGAAATGGCTCTGACCGTCTTCCACAAGGCTGCTGTTCAACTGGTGAGCCTCTGTGCTGTGCCCTCATCCTGGAAACAGGGGGACTAGTTGAAGGATCTTGCTACAGAAACTATACCAAAAAGAAGCTAGCAAGCTGAAACAGCAGCTCAGTATTTTCCCTTTTTACTTTCTTCTGACTGGAAAGAAGTATTAAACGCTCTTGTCAAAAAGCCATGAGAGCAACTGAATTAATTTTACCTAAAATTAGCTGTTATAGGAGAGAAGAAAACACTGCTGAAAACAGTACTCAAAAATCTTAGCAAAGTTCATTATAGTGAGACTTTAAACATAGCTGATGATTCTTTTCTTAGTTATGTAAGAAAACTCATACGACGTCTGCTCAGTATTTTCAACTATCTGGAGACTATTTTAGCTGCCCTTTCTCTTGACGTGCAATAATTAATCCAATAGTAGTCAGATCCCTCCAACATTAGAGGGATTTTTGCATGCCATGTAGTCCCCACATATATAATAAGACTATATGTCATTATGAACGATAAAACTGCCAAGCTGGGATGAAATTATCTACCATCAGCACCATGTGTATCTGATCATTAACACATCTCTCAACTGAATTTCCAGTTGTCACATGCCTGATGAGGTGCATTACTACCCAATCCTAGGTAAAACATTCACAGTCTCAAGATGGTGTATCTCTTAAAATGGTAAAACTACAAACTACTTAATTTATAATTCCTGTATACTATCAAACTCAGCTGACAGCAAATGTAAAATTTCATATACTTTTCAAACTGATGAAAATCACCCCCTAGGCAATAATCTAAATATAAGTAAAAAGGACAGCAATAAAACGTGTCATACTTTAAATAAAAGTTAGTATGAGTGAGGTTCTACAATGGCCTTAATGCCCTTCTGTGTCGCAAAAATTGAGAGCACAAAGTGCCTGTAAAAGTGTATCTAATTGCTTAAAGCTCATTTGAAATTTGTTATCAATTAACAGGTACCACTTGTTACCAACTAACAGGCACATAAAGAATTGCCTGGGAAGATAAAATCAAATTGTCTTGTAACAGATAAGCAAAGAAGCTTAGTGGTCGGTGACCAAACTTCTTCAAGATGTCTGTTTGTTCAGTCTTTGGGCAACTACGTGTTACAAGCTGTGGCAGATGCTCTAACCGCCAAAGGCTGCTCCATCTTGGTAGACTTAAAGACACCCCATTTGTTTCAGACTTACTCGCTACTTTGAACCTCTCCACAACAGAACACACAACTGTGCAGACCATTTGAAAGGCTCAGGTGGTGAATATAGCAAGGCCTTTTTGCATCCTTAATTTGCAGTGAAGTTTCTCTCCTGTAGGTCTGGGGCTAGTCAAAGGAAAACAGGTTACATTTCCTGCTTCAAATTAAACAGTGACAGTGGTAGTTATCCAGAATAGGTCCTCTAGGACGCTATCTGGAGCAAGAGGACTATATAATGTCTCAGTTATCTTCTATCTTTCTAGCTGTCCTATGGCCAGGATGAAAACCACCATCGTGTAAAGGTGCAGTATAAGGCACATGGCTAGCTGAGTTACCTTCCGTGAAGTGATTTGAAGAGAATCAGATTGAGCTCCCATTAGAGCTCCACCTGGGAACACTGCAGGAACCCTAATCAAGCCCAGCAAACCCACAAAACATTTAAGTGAACTTAAGTCAAGGAGCCTTCATCAAGAGGGTAATAGGTGGACATTATCCCTAGGCAGACTTTGATGAAACTAAACTCCTTCAGTGAGAACCAAGTGTAGAATACCAGCGACTGAAGCCACAAACTTCTGCTCTATATGCCAGACTGAAAGACTTTCTGTTTGGCCCAGCAGAATCTTCTTGCCAATGAGCAGTGAGGTTGAGATGACAGAAAAAGTCACAAACTGAACACGGCTGTTGAAGCAAAGCAAGTGTTCCACATATCCTGTAACTACAGGTTCTTACCTTACAGCAGGAGGAGGAGTGGAGGCAACCTCATCAATGGACTTTATAGTAGAGTCTTGGCACCTGGACAGCCATAATTTATGGTCCAAAAAGAAAAAAAATTAAGTACCTATAGAGCTATCAATCATATAGATGGTATAGTCTGCCGTATTACTAGAAATCAGCAAACAGACCTGTTTCTGGACTTCAGTTCAGGATTCCTATTAAAGCAGGTTCAGGAGAGAGCAGTCTCTGCAACTTGAAGGATGCCCAGAGAAAAAAAAAATGTGCCAACATGTAGGACAGGTTGAAGGACAGAAAGTAACAGAATAAGAAGAAAACCAGTATGTTAAGCTAAGGGTGACAGGCAAATAAGATCTAGTTTGAAGAAGAACACAGCTAGAGTAGATGCTCCAACTCATTGCAGATGACTGAAAGAAACTGAGGGAATGGCGAGTGATTTGACCTTCCATGTTTCAACACAAGAAAAAGTGAATGATAGTTCTTTGTCCCTCTTCAATAAATCTATAAACATTTCTCGTCTCCGGTGTCTGTTGAACACAATCACCCACAGCTTGAATTTTACATTATTCTGAAATGAAAATGTTTAATAATTTTATGTTTTTGAAACTGATTTATACATACTCCTGAAAAAGTTATAATCATGTAAGATTAGTGATAAACAAATACATAAGAATAATTAACTACACACTTCTTTAATTATAATTTATTTGTTTAAAAAATATAAAAGTAATTAATAGCTTCAAAAATAGACTTTTGACCCCCTTTTAGCCAATAATAATAGGACTTAACAATGGGTTTGAAAATACTAATGTTACAGATTTTTTGCAAGTTAGATAGCATACCTGTAACTACTTTTAATGTGTTTGTATTAGCTATGCCAGATAATATAGCTTTTGGCCTTTATAAAATTTAAAAAAAAATTGAGCCACAAGCTAGATAGGAACCATCATCTACAAAAATCCTGGATTTTTTTTTTTTAAGGAGTACTGAAAGCCTATTTGCTTTTGTATTTCATCTTAATTTAGTGCATAAAAATGTCATCACAGAGCTGGGTCAAATGCTTCCTTAGGAAGTCAATCAAAAGGTGGTAACAGGCTACTTAATAAGAAAATATCTTGTACACAATCAAGTTCATTACAACCCACCCCCCAACAATCATTTTGCATTTCTTAGAAATGCCTAGGGAAGTATACATGCCTTTTACCCTTCCTTCATGATTAACATACCAAAGATTTTCAAGATCAGAAGGGAGGCGATTTCCTCAGTAGAAAACCCATCACAGGAAAAAACTCCCCATCTCTAGTACATGGTAGGATTCGAGCAGCTGGGCCACCCAAAGGAGGTCACTGAAGGGACACAAATGCTGCAGCTGGACTACAGCTGCCATAGGGATGATGAAGGTTCATTTAAGTAATCTAGCAGCAGGGGCATAACTGAAGTACAGCATAACTTCATATATATACTGTCACAAATTTGAGTTATGGTTTTTACTGTCCTGTTAATGTCAAGATTTTCTAAATATGAATTAAAGCATTTTAATTCTTCTACAATTAAAATGCCAATTTCTACCAGTGCAGGGAGTGTTTCATTGCTTGTAGCCAGGTGTCCATAGCAGGTTTGTATTCCTCCGAGTCCTTCTGAGGCTCAAAAACTGCTTCTATTCGCCTTAGCTTCTTTAGTTGTTCTTTGTCAGTCCAAAATCCTATGAACAGAAAGTTCATTCTCAAGCTCAACTGCAAATATGTTTTTTTTTTTTTTTGAGTTGTTTTAATTTATTTCCAAGAGATCCAAAGCAGAAACACAGTAAGAAATCATGACAGCTTTTCTTTACTTAATCAACAACTTTCTCAGAGGGAAGCATATTTTTAACATTGTGAAACTCCTTTCCAATAGCATCCACTTGTTTGGAATCCTGACAACAGTACATCTGCTTAACTGGGATGGTTTCCAAGGAATAACTCTGGCACACTGAAGTTCCCTTAGGTTTCATCCTTTGGTTTGGCTGCAGGTCCCTCTCAACGAAGAAGGGCCACAGAAACCAAGACTTAGCGCTAGTTGCTTTCCTACTGTCTTAAAAATTGCCTAAATGGCAGGAAACAGCTGGTGCTATAGATTCAGATTTACGCTATTGAATCCTTCTTTTCTATCAAGGGCTGCAGCTTACTTACGGTTTTAATTGCTGAGTAAGTCTTACCTAAGCATATAGTTTTTATCTTACAGTTCTGTTGTTTACATATCAAAGCAATTGAATGAAGCTAATATCCACCTACAAAATGTACTTCCATTAAGCAAAACCATTGATAGTTTGTAGTTTTAAGTCTGGTTAATTATATACAACAATTCTCTGAGTAGAACTGGATTTTTTTTTCCCCTGTTAATAATTTATTTTGTACTTCCATTGGATTTATAAAGAATAAAGAGCCGGTTCACAGACGACAGGACACAGCTTC